AATTTCTACTAGGAACGTACGCGAGGACAATCCGCATTTTTCTCAAGGAAATCGCATCAAATTTATCGGTAAGCTATCAGTATTTTGTTAACATTATCTCTTATCTTGGAATGTCCATTTGACAATTGAAGCTCTCTCCCTTTTGTCAATATCGCGCTAGTCCCTCATTTCATCAAAGAAATTTATTGTACAATAAAAAGAAAAAGAAACCGTTCAAGAAGTATTACAGTATATACAAAATTCGAATAAAAGATACTCGTGATCCATCCACGATGGACACGGAGTAGGTATGTACTTGCCGTGAAGAGTCAAACGGAACACTGTCCACTGATTGTATGGCTTTGCTGTAAAGGTAAAAGATAAAGACTGCCGACTAACAACAGGTCAATTATGAATGCGCCTAGTGGGAGATGGCAGATTGGGACACGCTGCTGATGGACCATACAACGCTATACCGTTGGAGCAGCGGCCGACACTTTGCCGCAAGAGGTAATCTAACAGTATATAGAATTTGAAAAAATGGTTGTGCAACGGTGCAAATTGATTGTAGCTGACAGACCAACTAGCTCCAGGAGGTCGACTGATATGCCCGGTCGTAGCTATAGAAGGTTTCCAAAGGTTTCAAGATCTACTGCAAGTGGACAATAATGCAGACGGCACAATCACGAAGAAGAAACTGATGCAAGTTTCTTACGTTCCTCTTACGGATCCTACTACGCAATTAATAATTAATAGAATTTTTAGATAATGAGATCTCACACAGCGAACGCGAAATTCGAGCGAGCGATTAAATCCGCCGTGTACGAATTGTCCGCTGATCAACGATAATTGAATTTGATATTCCGATAAACCAATTCTTTCTTTTCATGCATGCATCGACATGAAATATGCTCCGTTTTCAATTAGGAGTATAATAAATTATATTTTACATATTATATATATATTTCCTCTCCTCTATTAATTCCTTTAAATAATTCAATTAATAAAATAACGTGAATTAATATTAACGCGAAAGTCGATTATATTAATCGCTTACGTTGAACGCAATTCAATTAATATAATCTGTAGTCGTGGAAAAGCTAAATTTGTTGCAACGCAGAAATTAATATTATTGCTGTTCTGTTTTTATAGATAATATATACTTATTAAACACTCCAATTCTTATGCAAGAACAGGATTGTAATGAATTAATAATAAAAAGGTAAAAGTCTCTTTTAATAGTAATGTATTTTATATTAATAATGTAATATAAAATACAATTTTATATATACTTTCGTATATTGTTTTCTTTGTGTTCACATGTATATATCGAGAATCTAAAATATTTATATATCTTCAAAAAATTATATATATATAATATATATATATATATATATATAAATTTATACATTTTTGTACAAGAAGAATTAAGTTAGCTTACGAAGATAGCTTATCAAACAAAATAATGCTTTATGCAAGCACAAGTACAATTCTAAGAAAAATTAAATCAATGTTTGATCATATATATAGGTATATATTTATACAATTCTAAAAAAAATAAGTTAAATTAGCACAAGGATAGTTTATTAAACAATTTTGATCTTAATTTTTCAATTTTATTAGGACAAAAGTATATTTGATATATATATATATATATATATATATATATATATATGTGTGTGTGTGTGTGTGTGTATGTATGTATGATATACGCCATGGAACAACAAATTATTTATAAACGATGATATAATTAAATTACCGCGTTACATATTGAAAACGTCATCGCTTTGATATCGAGCAAAATTTGCGAGGAATCGATCAAACTAGCGCGCAGTTTCCGCCAATCGAAAATTGTCACCCAATCGCGACGTTGGCCACTCGCGCCGAATTATAGATCCGCGGCAATCCGGGACGTTTCAACATCTATTTTGAAAAGCGACTTGCGCAACCGTTCGTTCGCGTGATTGTTCAACAATTGTCTGCGATCTCGCAATCCGGTCGAGTCGTCGGAGCACGAGCAGCGACACTCAGTCGTGATCGCATGTTCCCGAAGGAAGCCCGAGGCTGGTCCGAGTCAGCTGTCAAATTGTCAACAGAAATCGAGAGAAGGTCGGCCGAGGTTTATTTTCTTAAGAAAATCGCACCCTTTATCGGAAATTGACAGCTAGGTGCGTATCGAGTATCCAGAAATAGGCACGCGGAGGTGCGACAATTGCCAGGTGAACGACGACGTGGACAGATCGCCGGGTTGGACTGTTGTTTCGCACTCGACAGGCCGCCACGAATCCTGTCAAAATTCGGACCCGCGTAATCGGGTGCCTTTGCACGACACTCGCGATCCTGTCGCCTGTCGTGCTCGCACGAGATACTTTGTACATTATGTACGGACGTTATCATGGGAGGAGCAATCAGGAGCTCGTCCAGCATCTCAGGCGTAAGTGTCGCGCGACACTGTTATGCAATGTTGTGTCACATCGCTCTGCACGCCGGTGTTACACACTACTGCGTGTTTTGACGTCAATTGAAGATATTATTTATTTCGTAAAAACAAAATGTTTACAATCTGCTATCGGTATTTTGAATCCAGGCCAAGCCTCAAATTGAGATTAGATACACTGACAGTGCATAATTTTTAAAAATTCTCTATAGTTCTTAAATTGACTTAATTCAGAATTAATTTAGAATAATTTAGAGTTTAGTTGTGACAAAAATGCACAGAAAATATATATATATATTTAATAAATTTTACATAAAATTCTATTTATATATATCCTTGTAAATATTATTTATATGTCATTGCAACATATATTATTTATGTCATCATATAATGATATCTTAAAATTATTTTTAGGATCTAGGGTGATTAAATCCGACAGAGTGTTTGAGGCAATGAATTCTGTGGACAGAGGAAAATATACTCATCCCAGTCATGCTTATATAGATTCTCCACAAGGGATAGGTTACGGCGTCACCATTAGTGCTCCTCATATGGTATAAGTTTTTCATTAGACTTTGATTTTTCTTTTGTACATAAAATGTCAATATTTTATAATAATAATAATTATATATGTATATATATATATATATATATATATATATTTATAATATTTATTGATCAAAAATTACAAGAGCAAAAGTAACATAAAAACTTATTTAAAAATATTACATTTACTCTCAATGATATATATACACTGATAAGAAAAACAAAGAAAGGAAATTATAAATTGGGAGACAAATAAAAATTCTTTAGCATGCATATGCCCTGGAATTGCTTGAAGAGAAATTGCGTAGTGGTGGAAAGGCACTGGATGTTGGTTCTGGCTCAGGATACTTGACAGCATGTATGGCCATTATGCTTGGACCACAAGGATTAGCTGTTGGGATCGACCATATTCCAGAACTTCGAATGATGGCTGAAGAAAACATTCGGCACGATCATCCGGAACTTTTGCGCAGTGGACGTGTGGAATTAGTTGGTAAATAAATATCTACTTTTAAACAATTATATATATATATATATATATATATATATATATTGTTAGAAGTTTACTTTTCTTACATGTTTCCTTTAAGTAATGAAATTATTTAACTATTATAATTTTGATTGTAATTAGTCGGGGATGGAAGATTGGGATATCCCGATCGTGGACCATATAACGCTATTCACGTGGGAGCAGCCGCTAAAGAATTGCCACAAGCGGTAAATAAAATGCTCAAAATTGTTGTCGAATGTGCTGGGACAAGCATTAAAAACGACATTTTTTAATTTATAGTTATTAGATCAATTAGCACCCGGTGGACGTTTAATAGTACCAATGGGACCTGAGAATTCGGATCAAACCTTAGTACAAATCGACAAAACCCTAGATGGCAGAATCAAACAACGACCCTTAATAAGCGTAGTATTTGTTCCACTCACCGACAAGGAACGCAGTATCACATCGATCATGAGATATGTGTCTGCTCCAATAAGTGAGCGCTACTTTATTATTTATAATTACGAGTATTATTTTAGTCTAACATCGTACACGACTCACGTAAAAAAACATGTTAGAGAAATAATTCAATTGCATCAAATAGACGACTATTGTTAAAAATTTTTATTTGTTAAAAAAGATTCTCTAATCAAAATCTAGCAATAGAAAACATTTCGATCTTTGAGCTTATTAACACTTAGAATCGTCTTTTATTATCATATTTTATTAAATTTATTATAACTAGACACACACAAATGGAAACACAAATATAATTTGCTTATAGATAATTTTACTTTTTAATATAAGTATGCAATAATGTCCATTGGTGATATTTTGTTAGTCTTTAATATTATGTGTATGTTGTATGTATGTATGTGTATGTATATATACACACACACACACACACACCACACACACACACATATATATACACTAATACGACTGTGAGAAAAAATTGATGATTAATAGCTATGATATTTAATTATGTTAGTGATAAATTTGCAGTTGCTTTTACATTAATTTTTGATTTATGTGATACAATAAGACATAAGAGATTATATTCGATTTATTATAAATTAGACACAAGACTATTTTTATTTAAGCTAAAGTTTAAAGTATAATTTTCCACTTAACTATTTGTATTATTTATTTGATAATAAAATTTTGTATGTATGTGCTAGGTTTCTTTAAATTCTACACACAAACGAAAAGAGATAGTTATATAATTAAACAGTTTATTTATTAATGATATATATATATGTAAAAATGCAAACAATTATATATAGATATAACAATTATATATAGGTATAATGTTTACATTTTTCTGTATAATAAAAACTCTATTTTATATATGATATATAATATGTGATGTATCTTTTCTATGGCTTTATTTATCTGTATCTATGATCTGTGTGTTCCAATAATATTGATTTGCAAAATTTCTTTTAATTATATAGATGCGGTATTTAAAAATTTATATATATATTACAATATATACACGATGACTAGAGTCAGAAATACTTATATATTTCATGTCACATATACATGTTACATAACATTTGTAGTTACATTTTATCTTAAATAATAAATATGTTATAAATTATATATAATAAATTGCATAATACCTTTATAACGAAATTTTCTCAATTATCATTTATATATATATGTTTGTACATATTTGTATGTGTATAATATGTATTATATATATATATATTATATAATCAAATAAAATATGAAAACTAATATATCATACATCATAATTATAATAAATTAATAACTAATCAAAAATTTGCTTAATTCGTTCGAGTTTTAATAAAATCGCCAGGAGCTTTTGTCAAAACGTAAGAATTTTTATTCACAGAAAAAATGAAATAATTCTATAAATCATCAATGATCTGAGATAATGACAATCGAGAATACAATTGAATAGATATATTTTACATTACATTAATATCATTTACAAGCTCGAGATTAAAACACTCTTATGGTCCTACCTGATTTGGAATGTACAAAATGGGCAGTGAAATCGAATATTTTATTTACATTCTTCTTTAGTTACAGAATTAAACATTAAAGAGCCTTTACCATGTACAAACTAAGCGCTGCACCAGATGCTAATCCTATACCCAGAAAAGCTCCCATCATTGCAGATGCAATTTCTTTTTCTTGGCTGTCCACAATTCTAAAATATAGTTGATATGTAAGACAATAATAACACAAATATATTTTTTTATAAATATAATCAGAAAATTTTTATAATCGATGATACTTACGTAGGCACGAGAATAAACGTTAAATTACAAAGATAACCATTGGTTTACAGCGAACATGACAGTTATCAAGATATAATATATATCACTGTGAATAAACAGGCAGATGAGTCTCGGTTGCGCATTACAAAACATAAGGGCAGGTATAAAACACTTCTTGCGACGCTCATAAACATCACGAGCCTGGATTACTTTTCGGCTGCAATGATAAACCATTGGTAGAAATAAAAACAAAGCAAATTTTACAAATTAAAACGCAGATTCTCACCCATTGAAAATACCGGATAACACCCTGCCAGTATAATCGCCTGTACTGAAGATAAGATACGTCACCACAGGTACAAAATATATATCTAAAAAAGAATCCTTTCAGATCTCTTTATCCGTAAATTTATTTTTGTTCGTGCAGAGATGTGAAGTATTATATTGAAATATATTTGTGCAGAAGTCTCGGCTTACCGTTCCACGCATGGCCCTGTCCCTTGTACTGACTCGCCACTAACACAGTGACCGCAGGATATACAGTCAACGATATGAAAAATACAAGAAATATGCTAACGCCATATGCCAGATCCTCTTTATAATAATCCGCGTGTAAGACACACTCGGATTTGCTGAGAAGCTGACTTCCCCATTTATTGAGTAATCAGATTTCAAATGATCAGGTACTTTTTCTATCATATGATGCTTGAAAAATGGCTGAAAACAAAAACAAACAATTGTTTTATTAGAGTAATGATTATCGAATTACATTTCGCGAATCCGATAGAATATAACAATAGATAAAAATAAATGAGAATATAAAATGATAGAATATAAAAAATCTTTTACACAGCAGAAAAAGCTTGATAACTTTTCGAACAAATTGTACATATAATTTAATCCTATCTGTCGATTGATAAATTGTAATATAATATGCTAATATACTGCTGTGACACGTATGTAACGTATGTTATCATTTTATCATAAGTAACTTAGCATACATTATAGAACACCGCGATGCATCATCGTAATACAAATGCAATGACTATTAGTGATGATCTCATTTTACATATGACAATGATTAAGAGGATTAAAAACTCGACGAGTTAATCTTGATGTACGTTTGAATAAAATTAACTTACCGATCTCTCTAAAATGACGTAAGCAATCAACGATAACAGGAGCACGATATCGCCGATAATGAAATATACTAAGCCGGAAAGTACTGGACTAGCGCCTATCCACAAAGAGCATATTTCCGCTAGGGCTGTAAATATCCCGCCAAGAGCTTGTCCACCAGACATAGCAGTTATGTATTTTGGCGAAAACTTCCCCACTATACCCATTAAACTTCCTCCAAAAATTGCGCTTGCAGCTGAAATTTTATATTAATTTTGCAATAATACTTATAGTAAAATTATAATTACTGGAATTACTTTTTGTTATTAATTTAATTATATGAAGGCATATACATACCATTTACAAATGCAACTGTTGTCAAAGTAATAATTAGAAATGGATTTTGCCCTAAAAATTAAAAAAATTAAATTAAATTTATTTATTAGAATAATTATTTTTTATTTCTAAAGTGATAAAATAGTTCTAATTATTACGAGACATAATGGATATTAAGCCAAAGTAAAATTTGATTGCTTACATTTATCAGTATCCATTTCAACAAATGTGGTCGTCATTATAAATAGCAACAATATTGTACATTGAGAGCCCACCATTCTTATAGTTAAAGAGATTCTGGAAGTCAAATTGATTATTAAACATTGCATCAACTTTTTTTAATACATAGTTCAAAGTTACTTATATAATTCTTCTAACTTTTCTATGTATACTTTAAAACAAATAAATTTAAACAAAATAATTATAGTTGTAATAATAGAAATTTACTTTATTATATTTTATGACTATACTTTTCTTCTGTATGCAATTTCTTTTAATTTCTTCTTCAATTTTACAATTAGTCTCAATTTTAATAGTACTTTTATGATTTAAAGAATATAAAAAATAAATAGTAACTTTGAATTATTCTCTTTAAATAAATATTGCATATGCTTTTATAACACATCTGGTTAGCAATAATTTTTTGTTAATGACTTTTTACTCACCTCTTGCTAATAAATGCATTTATTATTAAAAAAAGAGTACTTGGCAATGCACTGGCTACACTTAAATAAGAAGTAAAACTAGCTTGAAGATCTGTCTTTTCCTCAAGTAATTCTGCATATGTATGAGTAAAATTTGTCACATTATGAATTTCTCTGAATTTATACATCCAATACTGAAAGAAAATCATTGTATAATCAACATTATTCCAGACATAATTATGATAAAATAAAAAAATCAGTCACTTACATCGTCAGCAGTAATAAAAAAACTCCATGGAATTAATGTATTTATTCCAAGTAAATAAAACACAATATATGCAAATTGTATCTGTAAAATATGCAAAGAAAAATTGTAAGAGCAATGTAAATAGACTTTAAATAACTTTTAAATTAAATTTCAACATTGTAGAACAAAGAACATACTTATCATTTGGCTCATATGCTTTTAAAAATGGTTTCTCGTCAGGTATTGTAATATTAGGATCATCCACTTCAGTTTCCAAATCATCTTCGAATTCGCTATCAGATGCACCTCCCAATAAAGGTCTTCTATTGATGGAGTACATAACGTTTTCCTGATAGATAATAAATTATGCAATGCTTCCTAAAGCAAAGATATTTCAAACAAGAAAACGCATTGCTTTGCAGCATAAATCAATGCATAATTATATTGCAATACATAATATGATAAATAAATGTAACAGTTTAAATTTTATTGTTTCATACTGAACAATCATGTGTCACAGGAGACAGTACTTACGGAATTTTTAACAAAGATGTCTCAAAGATAAAGAATAGATTCAAGTGACGAAGATAATTATGAGGAATCCGGGCGATCGTCGAAAATAAATCTCAGACGTGATCCCGAATAAGTCTGGAACAGGTATAAGGGTCCATGTTCCAAGAACGGAAGACACAGGTAGAAGACTTTACCTGCTATACAGCTTTGTGAAATCACGTTTGCGACCTCTTACGTGTCCAACCAATCGCCCCTGCTGTCTATGAACAATTGACATTTTGTGACTGCATTACACGCTGTGTATCACTGTCACTCCGCCTACCACTATCGCAATAACATATCTCGACACACGAGGTTCGTTCTTTCTAGCTACACCTCTGGATTTTTTTGTTTCTCCTTCTCTTTCTCTTCACCTTCTAAATATCTATCTATCTCATTTCATCTTGTTCCAGTTAAGGGTCGGCAGTACACCCAGGCAACTCCGAATTGATATTGGAGACCTCGTCGGTGACAACGCGAAACTCCGTTTTCAGTGTTGCCAACGCGAGAAACCAATTCTCGGGTTTTATGTAGTGGTGTATGTCTGTACACAGATTAATAGACAGATCGCCAAAGGTCTGGATGAAGGAGAGACCAGCATTTCTCACTGATTTCAGCGCCATATCGTAGTAGTGGTCAATGCAGTAACTATTAATACGTTCCCAAGATAAGAGCGTCTCATGCTCATGAACTCGTCCGGCGGCATGTACGAGATTTATCTTTTCGTAGCGTTCGCGTATTTCGGAAAGGACAGAATTTTATGATGTTATAAATAAATAAATAAATAAATAAATAAAATATTAACCTGACCTATTATAATTATTTTTTAATAAATGTTTCATTATTATTATCATCTAAGTCTAAGTCGTTTAATTAATTTTTAGTTTTTTAATAATTAATTTAATTTATTCTAATCATTTTAATATGTGAAAAATACTAATACGTATACGTTTTATAATGAATTAATATATTTCGAGAGTCGAATTATATATTTTTAATAATATAAAAGTGTTCAAAAATTATATTTGACTTTTAATTTTAATTATTTTAGCAAAGAGTTCCGAAATCTCTTACACACATAATAGGGATTTTGTTCATCCATATAATTCGCAATTAAGTATATATGTTAATTATTAATTTTAATAAAATACAAAATTAAAATTAAAGGTCAAATATAATTTTTGAACATAAATATATTTAATTCGTTATAAAACGTATACCCGTGATAGTATTTTTCTCGTACAAAAATAACTAGAACAAATTAAATTACTCATAAAAAAATTAAAAAATAATTAAATAATTTATATTATATATGATAATAATAAAACATTTTATAAAAAAAACAGATTCAATAAATATAAGTATATATATAACATGTACTTATATTTATTGAATCTGTTTTTTAATAAAATGTTTTATAAGCTTAGAAAACTTGACTTTGACGTAACTAGCAAATTTTATTTAATTATTTCACGACGGTTTGACGTAATAAAATGTTTTATTATTATTATATAAAATATAAGTTTAAATTCTTTAATTAATTTTTAATCTTTTATGATTTTTAATTTACTCTAATTATTTTTGTACGAGAAAAATACTATCATGGGTATACGTTTTATAATTAATTTAATATATTTGTGTTTAAAAATTATATTTGACCTTTAATTTTAATTTTTATTTTATTAAAATTAATAATTAACATATATACTTAATTGCGAATTATATGGATGAAAAAAATCCCCATTATGTGTGTAAGAGATTTCGGAACTCTTTGCTATAAAATAATTAAAATTAAAAGTCAAATATAATTTTTGAACACTTTTATATTATTAAGAATATATAATTCGGTTCCCGAAATATATTAATTCATTATAAAACGTATACGTGATATTATTTTTCTCATATAAAAATGACTAGAATAAATTAAATTAATTATTAAAAAACTAAAAAGTAATTAAACGACTTAGACTTAGATGATAATAATAATGAAACATTTTATTAAAAAAAGATTCAATAACTAGTAGGTCAGGTTATAATTTTTTATTTATTTATTTATAACATTATGAGCTATTAAGCTCATCATCTCGTTCGCTCTCTGTCTTGCTTTCATTCGGCAAGTCACAAACGATATATGATACTCGTATGTTCCTACTTCAACTCTCGAGAATCTGAAACAAACGAAACTCGTGTCCAATATACAGGGTGTCCGGTAACTAACGACCAATGATTACAAATGGATTCTTTGGTCAATTTGGGAACGATTTTTCCTCAGCGAAAATGTCGAAAAAGGTCATCATTTTTTACAACTTTCCAATCTTTGTCATTATGTATCTTTATAACTAAGCCTTAAATTAAAATTTTATTATAGTAAACTCTACCTGAAATTAACTGAAGAATGTAATTATGTTAGACTTTTAACTCCAAAACGTTTAGTTTTCAAAAAACCTATTTTTTTCAATCGCTTATAACTCGAAAATTATTGACTTCTCAACATTTTTGCTAAGGAAAAATCGTCTCCAAATTGGCCAGAGAATCCGCCCTTAATCATTGGTCCGTTAGTTACCGGACACCTTGTATATATTATATAAAAGTGTATAGCACGTCAGAAGCTTGTGAGCTTACAGCGATAAGTAAAAACAATTGCGTATTTATTTCATTGCGTTTATCTGTTTAAACGCGCGCTTTAATTTTTCCAACGTTTTTGCCTGTTTATATTTTAAAGGTCCTCTCTTCTAAAAATCTTGTTTTAAAGATCCTCTCCGCGAGCAAAATTCGAAAACATAAATTATTTAATATTTTTACTTTATTATTTGTAAATCCTCGGTAATTTCAAAATTTTTCTATTTGAAAATTATTAATTTTCTATTGCCAATTAATTTTATCACAGACTTTACTCTTACTCCCATTGCACTTTCGTTTGCGGTTTTCAGTATACGATTTTTTATCGTAGTTACTGAAAATTATTATTGTGAATTATACTTGTGCAGTGATTTGAAGAATTTACAATTTCGTTGAAATTGTTGATTTTTCAAAAAAATTACGAGATTCGCGGAAATTGCGTGCTTTCTTGGCATTTTCCGTTCGCGGCAGGCGGTTTATTTTTGATTGTTGCAAGTGTTTTTGTTTTTTTTTTTATTAAAATAGATAATAATAATGTGAAATAAATCACGATATTTGACAGATGTGCATATATATAGAAATTGTAATAATAATAATATTATATCATAAAATTGTAAATTGTTTCAATTTTTTATAGACTGCGATAAAAGATTTTACATTTGGATAAGAAACTGCGGTAAGTAAAAATATAAAATTCTTGAAAACGTAAAAATATTTGATAACGTAAAAAGGTGAACTTTGAAAAATAAGGAACTTAAAAATTGCACTAATAAATGGGCTATATATATGTGAGCCGTGCGCGGATGTAAGGTGTGTTATATCGAAATTTAATTAATAGAATTGAGAATTAATCCCAATTTTAAGTCTTACAAATGTCCAAGCTAATTTTTTGTACCTCGTGTACATTTTTGAAAGTTATATCGAAAAATTAAATTTCAATATGCGTCTTACATCTCACATTTCGCATACGGCTCACATATAGCCTATTTATCTCTTATACTTTATTTCAACCCTTATAGAAATTTATTACTAGTAACGCCAATTTATCACTTATTTCGAGTAATTAATCACTTTTATTTCGAATACTTAAATTACTGTATATTATAGTATTTTAAATACTCGAAATAAGTGATTAATTGGCGTAGTGATAAATTTCTACAAGAGAATAAGGAGCCTTTAAATTCTTAATGTAAAAAATTTCAAGTAATTTTCTTTAATAAAATTTAATTAAAAATTTAATTAAAAAATTTTTGAACACTGTGTTATATCACATTTAAAATCGTGATTATTTCAATAAAAAAACATTTTATGTGTAAAAAATATATTTTTTATATTTAATAAATTTTATATATATATATGCATATATGTAAAATATTCTCTCTCTCTCTCTCTCTCTCTCTCTCTCTCACACACACACACACACACACACACACACAACGGGGGCCAAATCTCTCAAATTGGTCTCATGATCAATTAGCCTGGATTCGCACCAGGGGCAAAGTCTGTTGGTAATGTCAAACGAATTTAGCCTGGACTTGCACCAGGGGCAAAGTCTTTTGGTCGAGTCTACGAAATTTAGCACGGACTCGAACCAGGGGCAAAGTCTTTTGGTTCAAGTCTACGAAATTTAGCACGGACTCGAACCAGGGGCAAAGTGTGTCGGTAAGGGGCAAAATCTATCGCACGAAGATGGCGGTCTCTTCTTTAGGCAGGCCTTTGGCGATCTGTCTATTAATCTGTGGTCTGTACACGTACATACACCACTGCATCGCTCACGCGGACGCACGTAAGAGAGACAAGGACCGATAATCACGTGTTCTCCTTGTTCCACTACCGTGCCGGTATACGCGAGATGCCGCCTGAAAATGCTTTCTGGCCTTCCGTAGCAGAAAGCAGTAACGTAGCAAGACTAATAAGCACCCATTTTTGTAAATTTTATATATGCTTATGCACATATGTGGATATATTATTTATATATAAATATATATATATATATAAATATACTAATTTACTCTCAATTATATATGCTACTGTTATTATTTATCATTAGACAATTATAAAACAGAGGTTATAGATTTGGTCTGACTACACTGGCCTCAAATTAAAGTTGTATATATATTTATTTTAACGTTTCGACCATACGGGATGTGGTCCTTTTCAAAAATACAGATTGGAATATTAGAGAGTTACAGCATTTCGTCTTTAAGATGTAAGCGCAAATTATGATTCGGAGAGATTTAACTTGTCAAATAATAAAATATAAAATAAATTATAAAACATATACATATATAATTTGTAGTGCTATATATATATATGTTTTATAATTGTCTAATGATAAATAATAACAGTAGCATAATTGAAAGTAAATTAGTCTACAATGTTAGACACGGGTACTTGTTAGATTTGATAATTTATTGCTTATACTTTTTCGAGAGACAAGAATAAGAGAACGAATATAAATTATTATTAGCTTGTATAGCAATCATAGATTGACGAATATGCATTGGTTATTCTTGATTTTTTTTCTATTATTGATGTTATTGTATAATTTGCTCCATAAATACTTATAACATAAAAGAACTTATGTCGAGTAATATTGATCAATGCAAAGGATGTTCAGTATGTATCACCCAGTAAATTATTAGAGTTCAAATATATCAATATCAATTTTTTAATAATATATTGGAATACAGAGAAATGATAAAAAAATATATTTCGGCAATAAAAATTTTATAAATATATTGAAAATATTTTTACTACACGCGCGCGCGCGCGCGCACACACACACACACACACCC